ATTATAAGTAACAGAAAAATATTTACAGGTTTTCTTAAACTGTCCTGCAGTCAAACTGCCTCCAGCTGACCTCTGACCTCTTTGGTCCTGGTCCAAGACTTGGGTCTTTCAAGTCTTGATTAGCAGTTTAATCAGTTCTGGTTGGTTCTGAAAGTTTTGATGTTCAGTCCTTTGTGTACTGCAGAACAGCTTTGTGTTGTTTTGTTAACATGTTTGTTAATGTGTTTGTTGACATGTTTTTGATATGTTTATTGACATCGTTGTTGACATGTTAGTTGACATGTTTTTGATGTTTGTTGATGCATTAGTTGACATGTTGACAATTTTTTGACATGTTTGTTGACATGTTTTTGATGTGTTTATTGGAATGGTTGTTGACATGTTCGTTGACATGTTTGTTGACATGTTTTGGATGTTTGTTGATGCATTTGTTGACATGTTCATTGACATTTTTTTGACATGTTTGTTGACATATTAGTTGACATGTTGACATGTTAGTTAGTTACTTAGTTGACATTTTTTGATATGTTAGTTGGCATATTTGCTGACATGTTTATTAAGTTGACATATTTGTTGACATTTTTGTTTACGTTAGTTGGCATTTGTTGACATGTTCGTTGACATGTTGATTTATTTATTGACAAGTTAGTTGGCATGTTTGTTGATATGTTGACATGTTACTTAGTTACTTAGTTGACATTTTTCGATGTGTTAGTTGGCATAATTGCTGACATGTTTGTTAAGTTGACATATTTGTTGACATTTTTTTGACACGTTTGTTGACATGTTAATTTATTTATTGACAAGTTAGTTGGCAAGTTTGTTGACTTGTTTGTTGATATGTATGTTGACATGTTAGTGGACAAGTTAGTTGACATAATATTTGATTTGTTTGTTGACATGTTCATTGACACCTTTAATTGACAAGATAGTTGGCATATTGACGTGTTAGTTGACATGTTTGTTGTGTGTTCAGATCAAATACATGCTCTGCCGCAGCAGCTGAATGGTTAACTGTGTGATGTTGTCCTCTTCACAGTGGACCCTCCGACTGATCTGAGGTTTACGATTTTAAATGAAAACACGGTTCAAATGATGTGGAACAAACCTCAGACCAGGATCCAGGGCTTCAGAATCCAAGTGGCCTCAGACTCAGGTGGGTCAAAGTTCTGACAGGTGGAGCTGAAACTCTGCCTCAGCTGACTGAAACAGTTCGGCTCTAATGAGAGACTCTGAAATATCAGTACGTTTCCTCTGAAATGGAAGGGATTGTATCTACAAATCATTTTAAAGTTACTTGTATACATTTAAAACTGATGCTGGAAACTGTAACTCATTTGAGAGTGTGTGTGTGTGTATATACAGCGGGTAAAATAAATATTGAACACGTCACCATTTTTCTCAGTAAATATATTACTAGAGGTGCTAATGACGTGAAATTTTCACCAGATGTTGGTAACAACCCAAGTGATCCATACATACAAAGAAATCAAACCATAAATGTCCAGAAATGAAGTTATTTGTAATAATGTGGAATGGCACAGGGAAAAAGTATTGAACACATGAAGAAAGGGAGGTGTAAAAAGGCTGGAAAGCCAAGACACCAGCTGAACTCTCTCAGTAATTAGAAAGCAAGCCTGCCCCTTGTCAGTGCAAGTTAATATCAGCTGGTTCAGTCCCAAATGATGGCCAGGTATCACACAAGAACCATCTGATGATGGGTAAAAGTAAAGAGCTCTCTCAAGACCTTCACAACCTTATTGTTGTAAAGCATAATGATGGCATCGGTTACAGAAGAATGTCTAAACTTCTGAAGGTTCCAGTGAGCACTGTTGGGGCCATAATTCGGAAGTGGAAAGATCATCATTTCACCATAAACCGACCACGACCAGGTGTTCCTCGCAAGATTTCTGACAGAGGAGTGAAAAGAATTATCAGAAGAGTTGTCCAAGAGCCAAGGACCACTTGTGGAGAGCTACAGAAAGACCTGGAATTAGCAGGTACGATTGTTTCAAAGAAAACAATAAGTAATGCACTGAACCACCATGGCCTGTATGCACGCTCACCACGCAAGACTCCACTGCTGAAGAAACAGCATGTTGAAGCTCCTTTAAAGTTTGTTGCTCAACATTTAGACAAGCCTGTGAAATACTGGGAGAATATAGTCTGGTCAGATGAGACCAATATTGAACTTTTTGGATGTCAGAATACACATCATGTTTGGAGGTCAAATGGCACTGCACATCAGCCCAAAAACACCATACCAACAGTGAAGTTTGGAGGTGGGAACATCATGGTGTGGGGCTGTTTTTCAGCATATGGTACTGGCAAACTTCAAATAATTGAAGGAAGGATGAATGGAAAAATGTACAGAGACATTCTTGATAAAAATCTGCTTCCATCTACCAGGATGATGAAGATGAAACGTGGCTGGACATTTCAGCAAGACAATGAGCCCAAACACAAAGCCAAGGAAACTCTCAGTTGGTTTCAGAGAAAGAAACTAAAGCTGCTGGAATGGCCCAGCCAATCACCTGACCTGAATCCAACAGAAAATCTATGGAAAGAACTAAAGATCAGAGTTCATAGAAGAGGTCCACGAAACCTTCAAGATTTGAAGACTGTTTGTGTGGAAGAATGGGCCAAAATCACACCTGAGCAATGCATGTAACTAGTACAGGAGGCGTCTTGAAGCTTTCATTGCCAACAAAGGCTTTTGTACAAAGTATTAGATAAATTTCATTAAGCGTGTTCAATACTTTTTCCCTGTGCCATTCCACATTATTACAAATAACTTCATTTCTGGACATTTATGGTTTGATTTCTTTGTATGTATGGATCACTTGGGTTGTTACCAACATCTGGTGAAAATTTCATGTCATTAGCACCTCTAGTAATATATTTACTGAGAAAAATGGTGACGTGTTCAATACTTATTTTACCTGCTGTGAGTGTGTATATATATATATATATATATATATATATGTGTGTGTGTGTGTGTGTGTGTGTGTGCGTATGTGTGTGTACATTACAATATATCATACTTTTGTTTTTGCTCCCATTTTTCATGAGCTGAACTCAAAGATTTAAGACTTTTTCGATGTACACAATAGACATTCCTCCTTCAAATTTCAAGTGTTAGGAGGCACTTCTCTTTTGCAGAGATACTCTATCCCACCTGGCAGGTGTGGCATGTCAAGATGCTGATTAGACAGCAGATTATTGCACAGGTGTGCTTTAGGCTGGTCACAATAAAATAAACACTCAGAAATTATTAATTATTAATCCTGCAGCCTCATCCATATTTGAACTCTTGATGTTTAAAGTCCTATTTTTCTGTAAGATCTGTTTCAGGTCTTACAGAGGTGTAAATGCTGGAAAGTGGAAGGTTTATTTAACCTCTTCAAGTCAACATTTTCTGATGGTTCCTTTGACTTCCTTTAGGAGAACCAACACGAGACCTTTCTCTGCCTGCATCTGTGACAAAGACCTCCATCACAGACCTGAGTCCAGATGTAGATTATGTTGTTACCATTGTGGCATTTGACGAATCAGAGGAGAGTCTGCCCATCTCTGGACAGATCACACGTGAGTGTCCGAGTGAATGAGTTACTGAGTCAATGAGTTACTGAGTCGCAGAGTTACTAAGTCAATGAGATACTGAGTCAATGAGTTACAGAGTCATGAGTTAATGTGTCAATGAGTTACTGAGTCRCAGAGTTACTAAGTCAATGAGTTATGGAGTCAATGAGYTACTGAGTCAATGAGTTACTGAGTCGCAGAGTTACTAAGTCAATGAGATACTGAGTCAATGAGTTACAGAGTCATGAGTTAATGTGTCAATGAGTTACTGAGTCRCAGAGTTACTAAGTCAATGAGTTATGGAGTCAATGAGYTACTGAGTCAATGAGTTACTGAGTCGCAGAGTTACTAAGTCAATGAGATACTGAGTCAATGAGTTACAGAGTCATGAGTTAATGTGTCAATGAGTTACTGAGTCRCAGAGTTACTAAGTCAATGAGTTATGGAGTCAATGAGYTACTGAGTCAATGAGTTACTGAGTCGCAGAGTTACTAAGTCAATGAGATACTGAGTCAATGAGTTACAGAGTCATGAGTTAATGTGTCAATGAGTTACTGAGTCACAGAGTTACTAAGTCAATGAGTTATGGAGTCAATGAGCTACTGAGTCAATGAGTTACTGAGTCCATGGAAGGTGAAGGAGGTTACTGTTCTGTGACAGGAGAGAACGGGTGGATGAATATGAAATGAGAAGGTCCTACAGATACTGTGTCCTGGGTCTTTATCTGGGCCTCCTCCCAGTGGGATGTGCACGGAACAACTCACCAGGGAGGCGTCCAGGAGGTATCCTAACCAGATAAAACACCTCAACTGGCTCCTCTTGACATGGAGGAGCAGTGACTCTACTCTGAGTCCCTCCCGGATGATCGAGCTTCTCACCCTATCTCTAAGGGAGAGCCTAGACACCCTGCGAAGGAAACTCATTTCGGCCGCTTGTATCCGTGATCTCGTTCTTTCGGTCACAACCCAAAGCTCGTGACCACAGATGAGGGTAGGAACGTAGACTGACCGGTAAATCTCGCTTCACCACAACAGACCGGTACAGCGCCCGTATCTCTGCAGATACAGCACCAATTGATCTCCCGCTCCATTCTTCCCTCATTCGTGAACAAGACCCCGAGATATTTAAACTCATCCACTTGGGGTAGGACCTCTTCCCCGACCCAGAGGCAACATACTACCCTTTTCCAGCTTAAGACCCTGGTCTCAGATTTGGAGGCACTGATCCTCATCCCGGCCGCGTCACACTTGGCTGTGAACCGCTCCAGTGAGAGCTGGAGATCACTATCTGATAAAGCAGGGATAATCAATTACGGTCTTCGAGGTCCACAGCCCTGCATGTTTTACTTGTTTCTCTCCTCTAACCCACCTGATTTGAATGAATGGATGATTTGCAGGCTTCTGCAGAACTTGGAAGAGGTAATTCACTGACTGAATCAGGTGTGTTGGAGCAGGGAAAAATTTAAAACATGCAGGGCTGTGGACCTCGAGGACTGGAATTGATGACCCCCTGTGATAAAGCCAACAGGACCACATCATCCACAATAAGCAGAGATGTGATCCTAAGTTAACCAAAACGGATCCCCTCAACTTTGCTGCACCTAAAAGTTATGTCCATAAAAGTTATGAACAGAATTGGTGACAAAGGGCAACCTTGGCAGAGCCCAAATCTCACTGGAAACGAGTCCAACTTACTACCAGCAATGTAGGCTAAACTCTGACACCGGTCATACAGGGACCTAACAGCCGGTATCAAAGGGCTTGGTACCCCATACTCCTGGAGTACCCCCACAGGACTCCCAGAGGGACATGGTCAAATGCCTTCTTCAAGTCCACATAACTCCCATGCATTCTCCAGGACCCTGCAGATGGTGTAAAGCTGGTCCCTGTAGCCGAGGATCAGACCGCCTGGGTCCCCGCCTTCGACCACTGCCCATCACACAAATCACCCGACACCTACAGTCCCTCCCACAGGTGGTGAGCCCATGGGAAGGGGGACCCACATCTCCTCTTTGACTGTGCTGGGCCAGGCTCCATGGGTGAAAGCCCAGCTACCAGGCACTTACCAACATGCCCCATCTCCAGGCCTGGCTCTAGAGTGGGGCCCCAGTGACCCACATCCGTGGCACTAATCATAGGGGTCTCTGGGCTGTGCTTTATCTGATCCCTCACCATTTCAAGTTGTTTTTGGTTTTATTCTAAACTGATTTTACTTGTGTTGGCTTCAAATCTAGTTAAAGTGTCCAACCCCTCTCGAGGAGAGGAGTTGGACACTCTTCCTTCYGGAGTTGCCCATGCTGAGAGGCACAGAGTATGAGTGGACATACTTGTTGCCCCCCATCTTGGTGCCTGTATATTGGGGTTCACCCCGGTGAATGAGAGGGTAGCCTCCCCCACCTACGTGTGGGGGGACGGGTCCTGACTGTTGTTTGTGCCTATGCGCCTAACAGAAGTTCAGATTACCCATCCATTTTGGAGTCCTTGGAGGGGGTGCTGGAGAGCGCTCCTAATGGGGACTCCCTCGTTCTGCTGGGGGACTTCAACGCTCACGTGGGCAAAGACAGTAAGACCTGGAGGGGTGTGGTTGGGAGGAACAACCGCCCCGACATGAACCTGAGTGGTGTTTTGTTATTGGACTTCTGTGCTCAACATAGATTGTCCATAACAAACACCATGTTCAAGCATAAGGGTGTCCATATGTGCTCTTGGCACCAGGACACCCTAGGCCACAGTTCAATGATCGACTTTGTTGTCATCTCATCTGATCTGCGGCCGCATGTCTTGGACACTTGGGTGAAGAGAGGGGCGGAGCTCTCAGCTGACCACTACCTGGTGGTGAGTTGGCTCTGGTGGTGGGGGAGGATGCCAGTCAGACCTAGCAGACCCAAACATATAGTGAGGGTCTGCTGGGAACATTTGGCAGAGTCTCCTGTCAGACGGAGCTTCAACTCACACCTCCAGGAGAACTTTGAACACATTCCAGGGGAGGTGGGGGACATTGAGTCCGAGTGGGCCGTGTTCCGTGCCTCCATTGTTGAGGTGGCTTACCTGAGCTGTGGCCGTAAGGTTGTCAGTGCCTGTTGTGGTGGCAACCCTTGAACCCACTGGTGGACACCGGCAGTGAGGGATGCTGTCAGGCTGAAAAAGGAGTCTTATTAGGTCATTTTGGCCTGTGGGACTCCAGAAGCATTCGATAGGTAATGGCAGTTGAAACGAATTGCGGCTTGGGTGGTCACTGAGGCAAAAACGCGGGTATGGGAGGAGTTTGTAAAGGCCATGGAAAAAGACTTCTGTATGGCTTCGAGGCAATTCTGGTCCACCATTTGGCCTCTGAGGTGGGAAAGCAGTTCACCACCAACACTGTTTATTGGGGGGCTGCTGCGCTGCTGACCTCAACTCAGGACATTGTGGGTACGTGGGCAGAATACTTCAAAGACCTCCTCAATCCCACCGACACGTCTTCCTATGAGGAAGCAGAGCCTGAGGACGCTGGGTCGGACTCTCCAATCTCTGGTGTCGAAGTCACTGAGGTAGTTGAAAAGCTCCTTGGTGGCAAGGCGCCGGGGGTGGATGAGATTCGCCCAGAGTTCCTTAAGGCTCTGGATGTTGTGGGGTTGCATTGGTTGATGTGACACTACAATGTTGCGTGGACATCATGGGCATTTCCCCTGGATTGGCAGACCGGGGTGGTGGTCCTCTTTTTTAAAAAGGGGGACCGCAGAGTGTGTTCCAACTATAGGAGGGATCACACTTCTAAACCTCCCTGATAAGGTCTATTCAGGTGTCCTGGAAAGGAAGGTCCGTTGGATAGTCGAATCTCGGATTCAGGAAGAGCAGTGAGGTTTTCGACCTGTTGGTGGAACAGCGGACCAGCTCAATACTCTCAGCAGGGTCCTGGAGGGTGCATGGGAGTTTGCTCAACTAGTCTACATGTGTTTTTTGGACTTGGAAAAGGCGTTCGACCATGTCCCTCTGGGAGTCCTGTGGGGGTACTTCGGGATTATGGGGTACCAGGCCCATTGGTATGGGCTTTTAGGTCCCTGTAAGACCGATGCCAGAGCTTGGTCCGTATTGCCAGTAGTAAGTTGGACTCGTTTCCGGTGAGAGTTGGACTCCACCAAGGTTGCCCTTTGTCACCGATTCTGTTCATAACTTTTATGGACAGAATTTCTAGGCACAGCCAAGGTGTGGAGGGGATCCATTTTGGTGACCTTAGGGTTGCATCTCTGCTTTTTACGGATGATGAGGTCCTATATGCTTCATCAGATTATGATCTCCAGCTCTCACTGAAGTGGTTCACAGCCAAGTGTGACGTGGCCGGGATGAGGATCAGTGCCTCCAAATCTGAGACCATGGTCTTGAGCCGGAAAATGATAGGTTACCTTCTCCTGGTCAGGGAGGAGTTTAAGTATCTCAGAGTCTTGTTCATGAATGAGGGAAGAATGGAGCGGGAGATCAATAGGCAGATTGGTGCTGCATCTGCAGTGATGCGGGCGCTGTACCTGTCTGTCGTGGTGAAGCGGGAGGTTAGCCAAAAGGCAAAGCTCTCGATTTACTGGTCAGTCTATGTTCCTACCCTCATCTATGGTCACAAGCTTTGGGTAGTGACTGAAAGAACGAGATCATGGATACAAGCGGCCAAAATGAGTTTCCTTCGTAGGGTGTCTGGGCTCTCCCTTAAAGATAGGGTGAGAAGCTCAGTCATCCGGGAGGGACTCAGAGTAGAGCCGCTGCTCCTCCATATCAGGAGGAGCCAGTTGAGTTGGCTCGCGCATCTGGTTAGGATGCCTCCTGGACACCTCCTTGGTGAGGTGTTCCGGACACGTCCCACTGGGAGGAGGCCCAGAGGAAGACCCACGACACGTTGAAGGGACTATGTTTCTTGGCTGGCCTGGGAATGCACTGGGATTCCCCGACGAGCTGGCCCAAGTGGCTGGGTAGAAGGATGTCTGGGTCTCTCTGCTAAGGCTGCTGCCCCTGCGACCTGAGCCTGGATAAATGGAAGAAAATGGACGGACGGACAGATGGGCTTTAAATCTTTTGATGCAGAAATCCTTTGATCAGATAAAGGATTTTAAATCACACAAAAGAATTAGTTAAAATACAAAAATCCCACAGATTTAGGTATAAATAGATTTACAGCTTTGTAAAACATAGTGAATTAGATTTTTAAACAACTCTGGGCATAATACACAGAAATCTGTTTAGTTTGTGAAATCTGGATGTCAGGGTTCTGCTGGTGATCCAGGATGTGATAATACAGAATAAAAAGGTCTCCAGCTGTCTTTGATTCTGGTCTTTAGGATATAAAGGTTGTTTTAATATGGTCAATGGGTAAATAAAAGAACTTCACTGACGTCATGAGACATTCAGGAGACTGTCCAGCCGGTCCCAGCCCGTTGCATGAAAAGCAAAGAAAATGCTCCCAGAAGATGGTTTAGACCATCACATCCTAAGGTTTATAACATCAGTTTATCAGAATGTTTCATGTTTGTCAAAATGAATATTTGTCTTTCAGTTGAGTCCAGTGGACCCTCCAGAGGAGACTCAAAGAAACCAGATCCTTCAGACTCAGTCAGTAAGTTCCTCCTGACTCTTACCTTCACTTCCTGCTCATATTCTGAACATTAACTCTGCTGCTGAAGGATTTTTACCTCTTCTGCTGTCAGCGTGAGCTCAGTAAAACAACACCAGTCCAGCTCAAACCCCCTTCAGTCTTTAACGAGTCCCCTCCAGGCTTTTGTTTGCCACCATTTAACCGTGCCAGGGTAGAGACAGCTGCACGTGCTCAGTGCGGGGGTCTCTGCTCAGAGAAGCTGATGGAAGTGGAAACCATTACAAATCCTGGTTTACAAGAACCTCTCTGGCTCCTGTTCTGCTCACAGGACCAGTTCAGACCAGACTTTTTTACTGAGAGGAAAGTCACCGATCAGAACTTTGACCTCAAACAACGGAAACTAACATTCGGGCTGTGGAGCGCACACTGAGCTGGAAAAAAAAAACTGCTAAATGAGCTGACAAACACGGATAAGAACCGCTTTTTTTCCGGCAGCTAACCCATCGGGTCTAAATCTGGTTCATATAGAGATGAATTATTCTTCCATAGTTTTTGTAATGTTCATAAAGAAAGTGGAAAAAGAGCAACAAGAACTGAATCAAAACAAAAGTCTTGTTTCTAAAATTCTAAACTGAATTATAACAAAATCCTGTTAAGAGTTAAGAAACTAAAAGTATTTAAAGTGTTTAAATCAAAATCCTGACTGAAATGAACAACAGCCCAACATTCTTGATGCATATCACCTGCCAGAGTTTCAGATAAATTCATGTTTCAATCATCTTCTAACAGTTTTTAACTTTAAACAGAAACTAAAATCTGATCCTGTGACTGAAGAACTCAACATGATCATAGAAAATATAAAAACATTATCACCTCCTTCTGCCCTGCAGGTCCGGCTTGATTTCTTGTTTCTTTGTGTCTGTGCTCGGGCCACGCCCACACTCACCTGGTCCTCTCTCCAGGTGTTTGTCCTTTAGCTTCGTCAGGATCTCAGAATGTCTTGTGTTAGTTCTTTGTCTGCTTTCTCAGAGTATCTTCATGTTGACACAACATTATACTTTTAGAAATAAGTCTGTTTCTTCGTACCTCAGAGTTTCTTTCTTTAGATCCACCTGTGTTCTGATTGTTTACATCTGCTATATTCTGATAATCTGTGCTAAGTTTCCTCCAACATGTGAAGGTTCTGCTCTGACGCTGACCTGTGATGCTGGTAGATTCCAGCAGAACCAGTCATCTGTTATATTTTTCCCAGGATGCACCGCTGCAGCTGTGGCAGACGTGGTTTTTCTGGTTGATGGCTCCTGGAGCGTCGGCCGGCAGAACTTCAGATACATCCGTAACTTCATCGCAGCCGCAGCCGGAGCCTTTCAGATCGGAGAGGACAGAACCCGAGTGTCCGTGGTCCAGTTCAGTGATGACACCCAGACCCAGATCAGTCTGAACCAGTACCCAACCCGGGCAGGGCTCCTGAGGGCCATTGGGTCCCTGACTTACAAAGGAGGGAACACCAAAACAGGTTTGTATTCGGGTTAACCTTTGACCTAAATAGATAAACAAAACAAACTTTTAAAACGATCCAATGATCAGTAAAGTCATTTATTTTAAGAAGTAAAAATGATTCCAAGCAAAAACTCAAGGACAGAAAATCGTTTTCTTTCTGATAAAACCTAAGAACGTTTCTGTCCATCTGATTGGACCAGGCCACGCCCTCAACCACCTGCTGACTCATACCTTCACCGGCACCGGCGGCGCCAGGAGAGAATTCCCCAAAGTTCTGGTAATCATCACAGATGGGCCATCTGAGGATCTGGTACAACGATCTGCTGAACAGCTGAGGAGCAGGGGAGTGGAGATCTTTGTCCTGGGTAAGCCACAAGAACTAGTTTAGGTTCCAGAACATCTGTTTCAATTAACTTAATGACCATCTGGACCTCAGGTTCTGACAACTGGTTTAACTAACTTATCGACCATCTGGACCTCAGGTTCTGACAACTGGTTTAACTAACTTATCGACCATCTGGAACTCAGGTTCTTACAACTGGTTTAACTAACTTATCGACCATCTGGAACTCAGGTTCTGGCAGCTGGTTTAACTAACTTATCAACTAATTGGTGACGTCTGCTGAACAACATTTTGTAGGAACTAAAGCTGGTTCTTAGAAACTGCAGCAATCTGGAGCTGAACATTAACTAAATTATATCCTATAAAACATTGTATTTTTATTTAACAGTGTCAAAGTGCTACTAAGGACTGTAGGACTGTAAAACTTTCCTCATTTACAGTCAATGGTCTAATACCATCACATTTTCCACCCTTTAAAAACTGCCTTGGAAAAAAGCGCTGCTACAGGTTTTATTAAAGGTTTGGAACAAAAACAAAGATTCATCAACTGCAGAAAGATTGATTTACAGCTAAGCAACTTCACGGTTCATTTATATATAAAGGTTTTTCATTGGTCATTAATAGATAATGGTCATTCATTGGTCATTAATAGACAATGGTCTTTCATTTGTAGTTTATAAATAATGGTCTTTCATTGGTAATCTATAGATAATGGTCCTTCATTAGTCATTAATAGACAATGGTCTTTCATTGGTAATTTATAAATAATGGTCTTTCATTGGTAATCTATAGATAATGGTCCTTTATTGGTCATCAATAGATAATGGTCTTTCATTTGTAATCTATAGATAATGGTCTTTCATTGGTAATCAATAGATAATGGTCTTTCATTGGTCATCAATAGATAGTGGTCTTCTATTGGTCATCTATAGATAATGGTCCTTCAATGGTCATCTAAAGATAATGGTCTTTCATTGGTCATCTCTAGATAAATGTCCTTCATTGGTCATCTCTAGATAAATGTCCTTCATTTGTCATCTATAGATAACATTTTTTTTCATTGGTCATTTATAGATAAAGGTCTTTCATTGGTCATCTATAGATAATGGTCTTTCGTTTGTCATCTATACTATAGATAATGGTCTTTCCTTGGTCATCAATAGATATAGGTCTTTCATTGGTCATCTATGAATAACGTTTTTTTCATTGGCCATTTATAGATAAAGGTCTTTCATTGGTCTTTTATATATAAATGTCTTTCATTGGTCATCTGTAGATAATGGTCTTTCCTTGGTCATCAATAGATATAGGTCTTTCATTGGTCATCTATAAATAACATTTTTTCATTGGTCATTTATAGATAAAGGTCTTTCATTGGTCTTCTATATATAAATGTCCTTCATTGGTCATCTATAGATAATGATCCTTCATGGTTCATCTATAGCTATAGATATTTTATGGTTCATCCATCATATAGGTCCTTCATTGTTCCTAAACATTCAGCTTGGTTCAGAGGTGTTTTTTTCTCTGGTCAGGGATCCATCAGGCGGACCCTGCAGAGTTGAAGCTGATGGCCTCAACGCCCCACCACAGTCATGTCTACACTGTTGTGGGCTTCGAAGCAATCCAGACTGTGCAAAAGAGTCTCATCACCCAGATGTGCTCAGGTGTGGAGGATCAACTCAACTCACTTGTCAGTGGAGAAGAAGGTGAGATGTTTACTAAAACAAGTTTTACTCCAAACTGTTGAGTTTGTTGTTGTTTTAAAGGTTGATTTATAATAATCACATAGAAGCAAGAGTCAGATTTTACAGCTGACTAACTAATTTTTATGACCCCCGCACGTGAAGCGTAAGCGGGAGTTATGTTGTTTTCGTACTTTTTTTGTTTGTTTTTTCAGTGATTTTTGGTTAACCGTAGCACAAAAACGGCTGCACCAATCAACATGAACTTCGGCAGGACTGTAGATGAGTCCGACCTACACTGCATCAGCCAACGGTTTTACAATAGACCTCATATTTGAGGAGGGGGCTCCTTTCAAAGAGGGGGTGTCTGGACATGCAAAAATGCTTATAACTCAGAAATTGTTCAGCATAGAAGCTTCAGATTTTTTTTGTTGTTTAGCGCTGATGAAGCTCTATCCATCAGGCCCACCATCAGTGCCCCCACCCCCATGGACCCCCAATTTATTTGAAAAAGGGGTATCTGGACATAAAAAAATGGTTATTGCTCAAAAACTATTAAACATAGGAGCTTCAGAT